TATAATAAGAATAATGACATATCCATAGAAAAATAGCTTGACATAACTCAACAATAGGTTATGAAATTCACGTAACATTGACATTTTTCATTGTTACATGCGTCAGTTATCAACTTTTGACTATTACCTACATTAGACATTGTGATGTTGCCAATATGTGCTCAACGCGTATCCAGAACACGATTCGCATGGCAACGAGAATACCAAAATCGACTGCCTTGCGTTTCGCTGATCGAATACTTGCGCTCACCGCTTTGAAAGCGTAACGTTTTTATGTCAAAGTTACAGAATACGGGCCCAGAAATTATTTGGAAAAAAACGAAATAAAAATGAAACTTGTACATCCTGTATCTAACGAAACCAAGCAATTTAGGACATACATTTATACGAACTTTTTTTCCTATTTTTAGTGGTAGTAAATGCTGTCGTTTCTCGAATACAATTTGAACCACCCTGTATAAATATTTATTGAGTTTTGTGGTAACTCAATTAAAAATTAAAATATTAATTAAAATAAAAAAACATACAGCAATATACATGTGTTTTTTTTCCTGGAAGTACACATAGTTAATCGTAAACAAATATACGACCAGACATTTTTTATTAGGTACCTATTATTGTACCTGTATTGTTTAAGAGCTAATCTATTTTTATTTAACCCGTATCAATTATTAAATAAATATTTTTATTATTATACACAACACTTAAGTTAGAACACTTACAGCTCGACTGAGTGTTATATTGGCATTTACTGGACTTTCGTTTTTTGGGTGCAGTTGTTTTATTACTTATTTGTAATAATAATTTTCCAGTAATCATTTTACGAAAAAAAGTTAATTAGAAAATCGTAAAATAAAATTATATTCCTTCTGATATAAATACCAGGTAGGTATTTCATAAAAGTGGCTCACCCCTATAAGTTTTTTATTTTTCCAAATAAAAAAATCAAGACTTGGTATGTTAATATATGACAAAAATCAGGATTGACTGACGTATTCAAATAGTTTTGATCACTTGCTGTTTCAACGGAAATTACTATAAGTAAATAATGTAAAAAAATACAGAGGGTACAATTTAAAACTCAAAAGTTTAAGATTGGAGGAAGTGGCCGAAAATAATTGAATATGTCAATCAATTCTGATTTATGTCATATACTAACACACAAAATCTTGTCTTTTTATGTAAAGAAATAAAAAAGTTATAGGGGTGAGACACTTTTAAAAGACACCCGATATAACTATAGATATATTGCTTTGAATTGTTTAGATTATTTTATTTAAATTAACATTAACAAATTTTTCCATTCACAGTTGTATTTTGCAAGATTACTCATTCAATCTACCTATTATTTAAAAAATAACTATTCATAATAATAACTTTATAAATTTTAATTACTACTAATTTAAAAAATGTTTCTTGTCAGCACAATTCGATACAAATCCTATTTGGCATGAAAACATTTATTGTTTCACAATATTACAAAAAATAAGTATTATTATTTGTTAATATTGACATATACTAATATTAGCACACACTATTTGAGCTCATGTATTGTTTTATCCCAATAAAATATTGATACAATTAGTAATTAAAATTATGTATTATCAAATTTTTAGGTATATTTTAGGAAAAGTTTATTAAATGATATTTGTTCAAATATTATATATTCATCATTCATATTTAGTGAAATATAAAAATTCTTCTCAATTACAGTATGACTAATTTAAAATTTGAATGAAAATAATTTGAATACGCAAGGTAATAATTCAAATAAGACACTCAAAAAGTAAAGGAAGCCACACACAAGACAGTTTTTTCTCAAGCTTTAGACTGTGTAGTCCAAGCTTTCAGATATTCCTCAACGTGTATGGTGAAGACCTTGAGACTACAGTGTCCGGCAATAGTGTATCGGGCATCTGTAGCTCCTATAATAAAAACTTTTATTAAGTGCAGATCTAAAATATATACTAGGATGAATTTTAGGAAAATATTTTAACTTTAATAGGGCGTGGTTCAAAAAAGTGTGAGTGGGTTGGGATGACTTTTTTTAAATGGAACACACTGTATATTATTGCATTTTTGGCTTCCTTTCTGATCGCTTTACATAATCCTAAGATACTATTAAATATGTTTCTATAGTTTCAGAAATATTAATAAATAAATAAAAAAAAGCGTTTTTAAAAAGCCTTATTCTTCAAACTTTATTAAAAAAATTATTAAAAATATCAGAAATATCCTGATATCAAAACTATACTAGGTATGTACTATAGTTGGTCTGTACTTACTTTCCTATAAATACCGTAATCTTAAACCATACAGGGTATCCAAAATTCTTTGCGAAACTAAAATATGAAATAATTTTTTTCTTTTTTTTTAATTGAACACGCTGTATATTATATCTTTATTAGATGTAGAATTAAAAAATGCAATTTTTTTGTATTTAGAGTATTTCAAAAATTTTAACGGTTTGACAGATATTATTTTATTAAGTTTGGCGTAGAATTTTGAACACCCTGTATGATTTAAGAATACGATATTTACAGTAAAGTAAGTATAGACCATCTAAAGTAAATGCCTAATAAAGTTTTGATTTCAGGACAGTACTTGTATTTTTAATAACTTTTATAAGAAAAAAAAAACAAAATAAAACACTAAATCACCACAATACACCAAAACATTTTTGTGTTTTGGTGTATTGGTGTATGTAAAAGTGTTTTGGTGTATTGTGGTGATTTAGTGTTTTATTTTGCTGTGTAACACCAAAGGTTCCAACCCTCAACTGTAATTTTTTAAGAAAGGCCGAAAAATATAAACTCTTGGACAAAATTATCGCACCACTTAGCTTTTAAAGATTTACTTTTTTTAAGAGAAATAAAAAAAATTGAATAATTAACATTGTTAACTGTGCATTATTTATTAGCAAAAAAGCATCATATTCTATTCAACAAAACGATATTTAACTAACTAAATGCATTTTTAGGGGAAAAATAGATTTTTAATAATCTCAAATTCAATACAAAAATAAAACAATAGCCCCAAGAACAACCGTAATGCACTATTAGTATCGTGTGTTGCCACCTCTAACTGCAATAACCGCTTGAAGTCTTCGTGGCATTCCTCTTAACAAATTTTGAAAAGTTTCCTGTGGAATGTTTTCCCACTCCTCACGCGCAGCCTGTTCCAGTTCAGCTAATGTTCTGGGAGGAGGATTTCTTTGCCGAATACGCCTTTTTGACATGTCCCAGACATGTTCTATTGGATTCATGTCGGGGCCGCGTGGAGGCCAGTCTAAAGTTGTAATTCCCACGTGTGCCCACGTCATTAAGGTATTGCATAACATCCAAAGCCACGTGAGGCCGAGCATTAACATGCATTAGTAAGAAATCCGCTCCTATGAACGGCGCAAATGGAACTACATGTTCTTCAAGGATCTCCAACACATATCTGCGTCCATTAAGGGCATCAGGTCTAGGTAGAGGCACTAACTCCGTACAGGCATCGTATTCGATGCCTCCCCAAAACATAAGACTTTCTCCAGCAAATGGTTCCCTTGGAGATATGCATGCTTGGGCAAATCGTTCACCGTCTTTTCTCCAGACTCTACAATGACCGCTTGGTCATCGCAATCCAATTCTCGTCTCGTCTGTAAACAAGACGCGCCTCCAGTCATTTAAATTCCATCCCGAGTATTGTCTTGCAAATCTTAAACGACTGACACGGTGTTGTCTGGTGAGGAGAGGTCTAGTTGCCGGTTACTTAAATTCGCTTCATGGAGGCGTCTTCTAACTGTTCGCTTCATGGAGGCGTCTTCGATCTGAAATATTGATATGGCGTACTTCCCTAATCAAATTGTTTAAGCTACGGCTGGTAGATGTTCTGTTTCTTAGAACATTGAGGCGCAAAAAATTGTCATCTCTTTGAGAAGTAGCTCTCTGTCGTCCTTGTCCTGGTTTTCTTGTATAAGTTCCGGTCTCCCGAAAACGCTGCACAGCTCTTATAACCGTTGTGTGATTCACGCCTAAAACGTCAGCCACATAACGGTAACTTCGACCTTCTCCAACTAAAGTTATTGCTTGGAAAGCTTCATTTTCAGTCAAATGACGTGACGCTCTATCCATACTCAAAAGATGGAGTGGTTTATGTTTCACAACCGTAATTTTTTAATACCACCTTAAAGACACCTTACTGAAATTGTTTGCCTTAGGTACATGTAGGGAAAAATGCAAAATAAGGAATTTCAATAAGCAGAGTAAAACACTAAATCACCACAATACACCGGACGCGCGTTATTAAATTGATGATTAGCAGATTATTATAAACTGATGTCTATAATCATCTGCTGATGATGCTAACATGGTTAGTGAAACGCGAGTCCAGTGTAAAAGTAAAAGTGTTTTGGTGTATTGTGGTGATTTAGTGTTTTATTCTGCTGTATAACACCAAAGGTTCCAACCCTCAACTGTAATTTCAATAATTCAGAAAAAATTGACCTTAAACACCAAAATAAAGTGTAAGCATTGTTTTTGTCCAGCTCTGTTTTTCGCACGAGCAAAAAAAACTCCTGTTTTAATTGATATTTATTATTTTCTTAAAGAAATAAGCCGTGGTGCGATAATTTTGTCAAGGAGTGTATATATTTTTATTTATTTATTAATATCTCTGAAAGTATCGAAATATATTTACTCATATTTTGGGATTATGTAAAGTGATCTGAAAGGAAGCCAAGAATGAAATAATATACAGGGTGTTCTATTTAAAAAAGGTCATCCCGATCCACTCACACTTTTTTGAATCACCCTGTTAAAGTTAAAATATTTTCCTGAAATTCATCCTAGTACATATTTTAGGTCTGCACTTAAAAAAATCCTAAGTTTTTATTATAGAAGCTACAGATGCCCGACGGACTATTGCCGGACCCTGTATAGTACTTTTCAAAACAAACCTTAGTAAAATCCTTAAATATATATACAAGGTTAAAATATAATTTAAATAAGACTTACCAAAATTGGTAGCGCACACTTTCTGAATGACTCTCCTAATCCCTTTCACGTTTCTACCTTCCGCACTCTCCGGCTGACTAACCGCCATCAGTTTCCTGTCCCCGGCGAAATTCAGGAACAGAAAGTACTCCCCGTGCACTCTAATGTTCGCCTTGACTAGCTTCCCCCGCTTTTTATTATCCTTCCTACAGTCCCCCGTCAAATTCGCGAACTTCACCATCACGATGTCGTGAATAGGGTACGACGCGTTTTTGTAGACCTCCTTCACCGTGAACTGCACTTTGTACGACTTCTTTTTGCTTCTAGTCCCTTGAAAACTCTGCGCCTTCGCTCTGAGCACGATTGGAGCGTTGAACGCCTTCCAGGAAACGTGTTCCTGCACGCATTTTGACCGAGAACGCGAATTTTTGACTCTAGCCGCCCGATGGAGTCGCGTTACAGTTCTTTTGGGGAATTCCTCGAACACCAGAGCGTCTATTTCGCCTTGGTAGTGTCTGGGGGGTAGTACCATAGTGTCTTCATCGATGGGGAAGCCGAAACAGGCGATGGCGATCCAGGATAGCAGGAGGAATAACGAAAACCATAAGCATTTTTCTGGAGTAACCATCGTCGGAGGAGAGACGTGTTACTGGGTGGGGGAGGGCAGTACCAATTTGGCCTTGTCCAAGTAACTGGTGGTCATTGTGGGGGAAGGTCGCGCTTGTGGCGCCACCATCGTTTTGGGGAATGGGAGATGATTGGTCGATGGTCGTTGGTGGCTGAAGTCACATCGTTGTCGGTGGCTAGGATGGGGGATGATGGTGTGTGGTCGTTCTTTAGTTTCTCCTGGATGTGATTGGAGGTCAGTGATGATGCTTATTCCTGTTCTGTAAAAATAGATTGTCATCAATAGGGAACCATCATTTTTTAAATTGTAATACGAATTTGGTAGCTTTGAATGTTTGATATTAAAATTGAAAATCAAATGTTCAGTCAGCTGCTATATTGATAGGCTCTGATCATAAATTCGAGATAGGTTACGGGCAGCTGCTAGTAAATAGTCAAAAAACAAAGTAAACTTAAATTCGCTTTGCTTTTTGACTAGTATGGTATTCACTACCTAAGTTTGTTCTAAATATAGTTGTCGAACTTTGCGTTCTTTTGAATACCAGGTGTTTCTCAAAAGTGGCTCACCCTATAGCTTTTTCATTTTTTCAGATAAAAAAACGAGATTTGGTTTGTTAGTATTTGACATAAATTAGGATTGACTGGCGAATTCAATTGTTTTCGGTCACTTCCTGTTTCACTGGTAATGAATACAACTTTTGATTTTTAAATGGCACCCTCAGTATTTTTTTACTCTAATTGATAGAAAATGAGACTCTGAATAAAATGTCAATAATCACATGTCAACTTTTGACATTTCGCATAAGGTTTATTTGAAATTGTAACATGCGGTTCTTAACGACATTTTGACTCGAAATATCAAGTCGGTGGTACCAATTTATTCTTAAAAAAATGTTTTTTCCAGATATACTAATGAGCCACCCTCGTTCCATTTGAAAAAATTGAGATATGATTAAAAATACGATTTGGGCATCTTTTAACCGGCCAGGACAAGACACGAAAAACATTAGACGATCAAATCTATTTTTCCAAGGCTCCTCGATGAAAAAATAGTGTTGTTAACACTACCATGGAAAATAAATCATGAAAATGTCAAAAGGTCACATATTATATGTCATTCTATTCAGAGTGTCATTTTCTATCGAATAAAGTAGAAAAATACCTTTATTACAATTTGAATACTGATAAAAACAAATAAAAAAAATTGTTAAAAAGGACAACTTATCAGCAAGATCAATATAAATTGAAAGAATAAGAATAAAAATTGAAAAAATAAAAAAATGCAGTATTTCAAGTATTGAAAATTCATAATTTTTTTATACCCAGTTTAAGGAAAAATATATTAATTAAAAATAATTTGAAAGCATTTTTATCTTGACTAGATTAACTGCATTGTATTACTTGTGATTAACTCGTTTTTGATATATATTTAGATAATAATCTTTTATTAAGAATTTGATTGAATGACGAGTTTTCTATTTCGAGTTAAATATATTTAAAAAAAAGTCTGGAAAAAAAGTAAAGATAATCAGCTGTTTGATATAAAATAATGATAGTACAAGCCTTGACTTGATTATTGAATTTTAGTTTGGATTTTACTGAATCGACTTGACAACTAATTAGAATTCATTTTAAGTGTCTCACATTATGGATTCCAATGAACTACCTAATAGAAATTGTTGACAGAAATGACAATTCAATTCATAAATTTCATACTGATTTTTGAAGTACTTCTATGAAATTTTTAAACTGAAATAAACATTTTATTTTTTTAGTTTTATAATTTGTTTCGTTATATTTTCCAGATACTATTTTGTATAATTGTTTATTAGGAGTAAAAATGACACTTTTTGTGGCGAGGCTGTACGTTTGACATTTTTTGACATATACATCCGTGGCAAAAAAAAGTCATTTTTACTCGGAATAGAACATGCTATTTTTTCAAACGCCACAAATACTTTTTTTAAACAATTTCAAACGTTCCAAATAATATAAAAAGATTTAAAAGTAATACCTTGTATGTAATTATATATCGAGAAACTATGGTTACGCTCGTTGAATTTGACACTTTATGTCAGTTTAATAATATATTTTCGTACTTTTATGCTTAGGCGTAAAAGTGCTTTACTTTAATGCCTAGGCGTTAAAATGACTTTTTTTATTTTGTCAATCGCGTGGCAAAAATTAATACTTTTGTGACGTTTGAAAAAAAAATATTAAAGAATGTGTATTAATTTTTTTTTCAGATATCAAGTAATAATGAAGAAAAATTGCAGAAAAATAAATCTATTTTTTTTAATAGCTACACAGTACATTTTTGTAATAAAATTACTCCAAATTAACTAACAATTGACTAAAAAACTTCCTGGAGTAAAAAGAGTACAGTATAATAAAACACTAAGTGGTGAATTACTGGTGACACTAACATTTTAAATCACTAAAGTGTTTTAAAAAAGTGTTTTGGTGTATCGTGATCAGCGCGCGTCCAGTGTATGAAATGTAAAGTGTTTTGGTGTATTGTAGTGAATTAGGGTTTTATTTTCCTATTATAACACAAAAGATTCCAACCCCCAACTGTAAGTATAGTGATGATCGAGACTGAACTTGGTTTTGCGCTCTCGGTTTTGATTTTGCACAAAAAGCAAGACCAGTGCAAGACTTATGCAAGACCAAGACCCAGCATGCAAGATTTCCCTGTCCTGTATTTATATCACACTAGTTAAGGCGCTCATGTTTTTAAGCATTCAAATAGATAAATATGATAAAAAAAGTTAATTATTTGATCAAAATTAAAGTTCTAATTGGTTGCAAATAGTGTTTTCCGATTTTTGACTTGCAGAGTGCAAGAGTCTTGTATTTGCTCATCACAAAAAAACAGAAATTTCCAATAGATTGATACATTTTTTCGGAAAACCTACTAAAACAATAATACAAAAAATTGTACAAATTTGAAAGTGGTTGATAGTTCCTGGCAAGCTTAAATCAGTTTTTTTACTTGAATCAAAATCTGACTTGAATCGTTTTGAATTTGATGCAGTTCTGTCAATTTTTTGAAGAGAATACTACCAAAGTATTTTGTGTAACTTCATTTTCCTTTACAGATTTAATTCAGTACTTTTATTTTAAGGTAAGTGCTCCAAATAAAGTTAAAACGATTTCTTTCAGTAAAGTCACAATTACTTTTTTTGCCATTTTCCGCTTTATTTTCAAATCCAACAAAAATTCCAGAAGAAGAAAAAAACCGCATGACCATGTTCTAAATATCATTTAGTGTTTAAATTAATAATTATATAAAGCTTAAATTATTAATTATATTTAAGCACTAAATATCATTTTTTAGTGCTTAAATTATTAAAAAAATATTTTTTTAGAAAACAGACCGTCTAAAAAATCTGAAACAAATTTACGAAAAATTTAAATTTCCTGCCGAGCTCAATTCAATTTTTTTACTCGAATCCTGCTTTCAATTTTTTTTGAAAATATAAACTAGACTTCTTTAACACTACTCATCATTTTCCTTTCAAAATTTATTTTGTACCTTTATAAGGCGAGTACTCCAAGTAAAATTAAAACAACTCCCTCAAACGTGACACAAATAAAACACTTCCACTTTATTACCAAATCCAGAAGAAAAAAATGAACTTTCCAATTTTTTTTTCGCGTTCCAAAATATTATCTAATATTACAAAAAAAGTACCGGCGGCAGACGCGCACGCACTCCTCGTCTCACCCACCCGCTACTAGCCTCAGAATAGTAATCGTTGGTGGCGGTACCGTATCACCGGTGCGATCTAAACTGTGACACGGTCGGCGTTGCACTAGCGTCTGGCGGAGGCGACGCGGCCCTCTGGCGGTGCGCGTCGCAAACTCCCGAGGTGGCGGCGCCTGTTGCAGGACGCTGCTGCTGATGCACCGAGGACGGCGACGCCGGCGGCTTAAAAGGATAACGCAGGATGTGGGAGTGAGGTTAGGAGGGTGGAGTAGGTCCTTTGGAGCGTGGGCCCAACACTCATCAATCATCGGGATGATTCTTAACTTTTAGTCTCTCTTCTAAGACTTGGCAATTGTGTTTTAATTTAGAGTAGGTGGTTTTATGAAGGATATCCTAAATGGATAATACAGGAAATGTGGGTGTCTACAGACCCCACTTTCTAAAGGGTTATCTGGATCATTACGAAGTGCGAAAGGAGTTACATCAATCTTATAGAGTTTTCAGTTATTGTTTCTTGTTATTTTCCTACTTTTATATACTTTTATATAGCCAAGGATTTCATTTATATCGGTCTTGCCCATTCGTGGACTCAAAACGCCTTCCGTCTTCCCATGAGACTCTAGTCTGTCACTCTGAGCCGCACGCGCCGCACTCGTCGCATTTATTCGCACCGGACGCAACGGACGCATCGTACGAATCGCAATATATTTGATATCATCGCATATTATATTCGGATTTTCTTCCCGCATTTTTATTTTAGTGCAATCCTCGAAGCGGGATAGTACGAAACTTCTGTTTTTTACGTTCGCTTCCCAAATGAGTAGTAGTTCTGATGAAGAATTATTTGCAATTGCGTGTGCATTTGAACAGGCCGAGCAAAGGAACAAGAAAAAAACGAATTTAGATCCATAATGGTAAATATGAAGAGGAAATTGTATGGAGAATTTCATTCTGCAACCTTGTTTGATGACTTGATAAGATATGAAGCAACGGAATCTGAACGGATTTCCGTGTTTACGATACGTCCGATACGTATGTATGTGCGTTATCTCATTTAAAATGAGGCAAATCATAATTTTCGTCCGTTCCGTGTGTCCGATATGTCCGTCCGATGCGAATAAATGCGCGCTTACCTTTATTCGCTATTTCGTTTCTTTTTGCCCCTACTACACCCGTATTTGCCAATCGAATTTCTCATCAGTCGCTTCCGGAGTCCTGTCTGCGGTGATAAGCGTGTTTTTTTATATTTCTCGACAATAAATGACAACGAACAAGAAATAATTATGAGCTCCTTGCTAGTTATAAGCTCACAATATTCGCAAAAATCCACATTATTTCCATATTTATTTGAGGATGAACTAAAAAATTTTTAATATTTCAATGTGAGCCATGAAAAATTTGCGAATTTTCTTAGCATATTGAATTTCTAATCTCTTCTTCAGCTACCTACGCTACGTAGAGTGGAAGGAATTGCGTGTGACGTCAGCAGCACTAGCCGCATTTACCGAAAATCATTCTGGCCCAACAATGCTGGCCGCATTTTCGTCGATGCGATTCGTGCGGCTCTGGCTAGTGTGCGCACCTTCATTGAAAGTAATGGTGCGTTTAGACTTGAGCACGCACGCACTGATCCTCCGCGAATGCTCAAGTGTAAACGGCTGTGCGCGCACGCTCACTCTGAATCTGCCTGTGCGCGAGCAGCCGCGAATGTGAGCTGTCTGGTGTCGGTTTTTGGTCCGTGCTCAAAGGAATTTTATGTGTGCGCGAACGCTCAATTTTGACCGGCAATTTGTTTTGTCTGCGTTCGTGCGTGCGTGTGTGAATTATGTTCTTTTTCTTTATTAAAATTATGGAGTGGATCAATGAATCTTCGTTATTATTAATTGAAAAATATGAAAACTTGCCTATATTATGGGATGTTAAACATTCTTTGTATTATTAAAAAATCAAAAAAAATATAACGCATGGCAAAACCCGTTAAATAAAATTAATATTGAATATGTCGATATTAATGAAATTGCTATTCTAAAATTTGTATCTTTTGTTCGTAATTTTTGGTGTTATTAAATTTTGTAAATATTTAAAGTCGGGCCTGGTCATTCTTGTAAAGTTTTTGAACTGATCATAGCCCTCCTCAGACACTAAGTTGTTGCAGTAAATTATATCGATTTCTAAAAATTTGGGTTTGCCACCAGCGACGATGTTTTCGATTTTTCTTCTTTTTAATAATTAAGGTGTGCATACCAATGACTGCAGCCTCGACTATTTCTTGGTCGTCCATTATTTCCGCCAACACAACTCTGCTGTGCGTGCACAAATGGATCACTTCATTCGTCGAAAAATAAGTTGTTAATTTGAACGGAGCCGATAGCGCGAACGAATGCCGTGCGCGCACGCTCAGCTCGTGCGTGCTCAAGTCTAAACGCACCATAACACAAACAGTATTTTTGTTCGGTCGATGCGGCGCGTGCGGCTCTGGTCAGTGTGCGCGTACCTTTACTTCCATCTATTAGCGCTTGCTCGTATATGGATATATTTGTATTTAACCGTAACTATTTTAGAAAGAATGTTAGGGATAGGAGTGTTTGGGCCCAAACGAACTTAAACCATACCCAAAATTCCAAACACACGTGCTTTGATTAAGGTTTGATTAAGACTTGATTAAGGCTTGCAGAGCTTCAGCATTTGCCATAAAATAGCGAGCAATTTGTTACAAAACCATACAGGGTGTCCCAGAAATAAGTGCAAGTATTTTAACTGGTAGGATAGTTCAACCCCATAAACACGCCGATGAGGGTTTTTTCCCGAAAAAAAAAATTTTGAAAATTCGAAATTTTTTGAAAAGTTTTTTGGAAATTTTTTTTCGTTTTCAGTTAAAAAATATGATTTTTTGATAATATAACAACATAGGTATTAGATAAATATGTTTCTTTTATCGAGATCTACAAGCCCTTAAAATACTAGCGCTTATTTCTAGGACACCCTGTATAAGTTACACAGGGTGATCCGAACGGTATTCCGGAAACTTCGGCAGCATATTCTGCAGACAAAAATAAGTAAAAAAGTTCGTATAAATGTATGTTCTAAAATACTTAGTTTCGGAGATACAGGGTATAGAAGTTCCATTTTTATTTCGATTTTTTCCAAATAATTTCTGAAGTAGCATCAATATTTAGATGAAAATTGGTGACTGGGAGTTTTTTGGCGTTAGAAATGTCAATATGACTCCTATTTGTATGGGGCGCCACCTACATGTGTTCTAATTGTTTTGAAGGGTAACAACTTTTTGTCCGTACCTGTACAAAACTACTGAGTGAAAAAATATAGTATGTCTCTTGGTAAAAATCGCTATGGGCAACCGTTCTCAAGATATTTAGAATGGAAATAGTCAATACATGTCATTATTGACAAAAAATAAACAGGTTGAGTGGATAGTTATTTGACCGAAATTGGTAAATTTTGAAAATTTTATTTTTTTAAATGAATCATCATGAGTTCTGTAACCTCCAGAAAACACTTTTCTTATATTTCCACCGTTCTGTTTGTTTCTTTTGGCGATAAAGAAAAGAGGAAAAAAGGCAAAAAGCTCGGGTTTGATGTACGAACGGGCGCGTCTCGCAGCCGCACTAAAGCTTTATTACGCAACGAAGAAAAAGAGAGAAAAGAAAGAAAGAACGAAGGAGAAAAAAGGAGGTAGAAAAGGCTTGGGGCAAATTAAGAGACATGCAAACTCTATATAGACGTCTGCGTCGGGACGCCACCCGTCTGGCGTCGCCGGCGCCGGCTGCGGCTAGGGACCAGACCAATTTACGACGCGTCCGCAATTTTTCCAACAGTTTTCCGATAATGTACCTTTTTATTTTCTTACAGACTTTCCGACGGTTGTGCTGATTCATATAGAGATAGTGATTTTAACAATATCCAAAAAAATAAATGTATCTTGGTTCTATTTCTTGCCTTTTATTTTTCCGTTTATATAAAGTACAGGGTGCTACAAATTAGGGGTGCGAGCATTAGTATCTCGATAAACGTAATAGATAGGAATATGGTTAAATTGGGACAAAGTTGCGCTTTGGGATGTTCATCAAGACGCCATCAAAGTTCTAAAAATTTCAAGGATTGCAGAGTTATTTTTTCCTGTCGTTATTTTTTAGAAAATCAAAAAACTAATTGCACATTCTCATAGCCACTTTTTTAGAACTATCTGATAGTATTTTTAGATTTCCAAATTAGCTGGTAATTTCTGAAATACAGAGGCCAACAAAAATTTCTTTAAATATGGACCTGCATTTTTTATTTCATATTTTGAAAGAACTCAGTCTCCTGAGTACAATAATATGCCACACTTTATACTTTTTTTTGTTTTGGGTACCTTAACAACAACAAAACTATTTAATTATTATTTAAAATAATTTCAAATCCGACTCTGGTTTTTTAAATTATTTAATCTGATTATATTCATTACAACAATATTGATCAGCACTAATTAATATTGAATAAGGAAAATCGAGGGAAAAGATATTATTTTTAACTTTTTTTATTGTGAATTTGAAATATCAGTGTACGATCTAATAATATGCATAATATTAATCGTAGTTATTATAAATAAATCTACAAACTACTTTTTAATGATCTTCATGTTTGAAAGGGTTACCACCCTTCCTATTGCACAAATTTATTATTCGTTCAATTTTATTTAAAGCTCGTTGAACATATCTTCTTCTTACATTTCCGAATGCATTTTGTACTTTTTATTGTAAATGTTGAAAAATATTAATTTGGTTTGGTTTGGATTTTATATTTTTTATTGCATTTGGTTTTCCGTATTCAATGTTTTACACTATATCGTTGTTAAATTTGGAGGCTTTTCAATATTGTAACGATGAATAGATTAAATATTTAAAAAAAAAACAGAGCCGGACTTGAAATTAGTTTAAATAAATTGGGTTCAAATGTCCGAAACAAAAAAAGTGTGGCATATCATTGTACTCAGGAGACTGAGTTCTTTCAAAAACTGAAATAAAAAATGCAGGTCCGTATTTAAAAAAATTAAGTTGGCCACTGTATCTCACAAATTATCAGCTATTTTGAAAATCTAAAAGTACTCTCAGATAGCCCTAATAAAGTGGCTACGAG